GGTAATTTTGCTTCTTATGATGGCTAGAGACTCTATATTAGCCTCTACCAGGCAGACTCTCTCATTGTGTATACACGAGAACCAGGCCTTCCTAGCTGACCTTCCAGTGAGGTCTAAGAGGCTGTAAATTTCACGAGAGAAAATGGCTCATCCTTCTCTCATTGAGCCGCTGGTTGATTCTAAGTGACAGAGAAGCATCCCTCGAGCGTTAGAAGCGCAGTTTCCCACAGACTCTGCCACCATCGCTCCCTTTCAGGTGAGTCAGAATGTCAGCTATGAGTCAAATCTGTAAAACGATGCACTGTCCCTTTCAGTGTGTCCAGTTAGGCTCCACTGAAGAGTCTTGACCTAGACAGAGTTCATTTCCTCTTCACGTGCCTTCTTGGGCTCTGGTGGTGAAGTGTCCACTAGACCATAGCTCCCTACTCACAGGTTTCTAACGTTGATCCACAGACTCTTCTAATTTAACTCTGGGTTGGTTGTTCTCTATCTGTCCCCCGGTTTATAAATTACTAAGACCTTCACAGATTGAGGGTCATTCCTGACTTCCACCTCGTTTTCCCCCCAACAGATTCGCAAGGAGTGCCACTTGGCCGGACAATCCAGCATGTTCTCTGATAAAAGAAATGGGCTTTATCACGCAGGCTGAGGGACAGCAGAGTGGACACCCCCCTTGGCTGAGGCAAGAGACCTTCAGCCACTGTCAATCATCAGCCTTCTTTGAGAGAGTTGTTGAACTGACTAGTGATCAAGGGGCTTGAGGGAAAAGCATGGAGTAGGATTTTTTCCCCTTTGTCTCTAATGACAAAATAAAATGGATCACGGAGTTCTTGGAAATCTGGAGCCTGAGTGCCCAAGACCACCTGTGAGGATTGCAGGCCTTTCTTTTGGGAAGGACTAGGGTTTTTTTGTTTTGTTTTGTCTTTGTTTTTTGGGGGTGTGTGTGTGTGTGTGTGTGTGTGTGAAAAATTTGTATTTATAATTAGCCAGCTGGACTCAGTTTAGATGATCCCAATTTTGTTGGCAACATCCAAAGCATCATAGTCAGGAGCAAGTCAAACACAGGCCTCCTCCTCTCCATCAGACCTAATCAAAGTGTTGACCTTAACCACGTCAATGCAGAGAGCTTCTTTACAGCTGGTTTGATCTGGTGCTTGTTGGCCTTGACATCCACAATGAACACAAGTGTGTTGTTGTCTTCTGTCTTCTTCATGGCTGACTCGGTGGTCAGAGGAAACTTGATGATGGCATAGTGGTCAAGCTTGTTTCTCCTGGGGGCGCTCTTCAGGGGGTATTTGGGCTGCCTTCAGAGTCTCAGCGTCTTAGGCCGCCGGAAGGTGGGTGACGTGCAGATATTTTTTTTTTTGGCTGTGGATGCCCTTCAGGACGCCTTCTTGCCCTTTAATGCCTTTGCTTTGGCTTCAGTTTTGGGAGGGGTGGGAGCTTCATTCTTCGCTTTCGGTGCCATCTTCACAGAAAGGCAGAAAGGACCCGTTTTAAGCCACAGAAAAACTACCTCAGATTAATAGGTGACATGATCTAGCTTTGCTTCTGGGGCCTTTGATTTTGATATTTTATTAATGCCTCTTCTGACTGCTTTAAATATTTTAACTAATGGTTTATTTAACTCTACTTGCCAGGGCTTTAATGA